TTTATTGCTTTTATTTGCGAGATGTCCTAATAAGGAGAATACGCTTCTCGATTTACTCGAGCATGTATTAGCCACTATATATAGCATTTCCAACAGCCCGCAAATGCTACATATTAAGCCCTGTAAAGCACGAAGGACATTGTTTTATGCAAAATGATGCGCACAAGAAAAAGTGGTGTTTTTGGCCTACTTTCAAACTTCCGACTGAAATTTGAGTTTGCGTGTAATTTTAAACAGAAGCTAAACGAAGGGTCAAGTGAACATTCCTCTATTCTTCCTCTTGAGTGGTGGCGGATAAATTCAACCCAAACTGACCTGAAGGGTTTATTCCAGAAGACTTTCGGACTTGAATTTATACATTGAAAAAACGTCTGTTTAATCTGTCCCTTAAACAGCATTTAAGGGACGTAAGTTTGATCGTGTTGAACCTCAGCAACAAATCACCTTAAGCATCTGACCGAGTATATTTGATGCGCATTTGATGCATAAACGTTTCAGTAATATCTCCAATATTCAAGTGGATTGCGGGGTTGAAGGAGTTGGCTGTCTATTAGTGAAATGAGTCATGTAAGCTGGCATTCAACTAGTATCGGGATGAAAGTCAAATTTAGCCTATTGATGTATGCGCTTGTGTCATTAATTTAGTGCTTGAAAAGAGCACAGGCATATGCCTGTTAAGGATTCCAGCAGTACCTGTTTAGGCCATTGTAGATAAGACATCGTGAATAAAACATTATAGAGAGTTGCCTATATTACCTAACCATTATAAATGCATAACTTGAACTGAACGAGAAAAGAAAACTCCATGGCCAGCAGGGGGTAAGGGTGTGGAAAGGCCAACGTTCTAGCTTAAAAAAAGAAGACCCCCACCAGGAGTCTTGAGATTAACTCACCTGAATGGATGTAAGCACCCAGCTTCCTGAGAAGTTAGGGATCATGGTAAAGTAAAACAACTGTTCAAACAGGATTTCCTGAGAAAGTTATCAACCGGATGACTACGAGGCATAATACATCATAAGAAGTGTTTGAAAGGGCGGGAGCGTTTGCAGGAAAAGAATAAATCTAGCCCACTTGGCCAGAACATTGATTGTTCCAATGTCTCCCCCTCCCTGTCAAGTTTTCAAATTCCTTCATAGCCGAGTTTTTCACAAATGGGTGGAATTAGTTACTTCAAATCTCCCAAAACGTCACATCTAGGCAGCTTATGTTTTGAAACTTTGCCAAAACATACTAATGTTCAGCCGTGTTTGTCCGCAGCTTCCATACATTAAAGTTTAAAAAATTCAGTCGACTGAAGACGTCGATGGCCTTCTGTGTATTATTGCGCCAAGAAGCTGTCTTAATTTTTGTTGTGCGATCGTTTTTTTCGATAAATTCCAAAAACACAGAGTAGATCGCGGTTGAACGACCTGGCTGTCGTTCTGTCTGCAAGACGCGCCTACAGTGTTCATTTGCATTCCACTAGTCATGGGATGGACGCCAAGCATGGCCTTTTGAAGTATGTACAACTCCTACTAATTAAGTGTTCAAAACTGTCTCTTTATCATCTTCATTAAAAACGACAGGCCGACAACCGTGATGGATACCAGCAATGCATTCTAAACGGAACCTCCATGCACCAATTTAATTTCAGGAAGATTGATTTGACCTATGTGAGAAAAACGCGTTAGACTTGCTGGAATTTAAATCTACACGAAGTAGGGTAAGGTCTTAGTCCAGCAAGTCTTCTGGCCTACAGGCCTACCGGGTACCGACTGAGAGGTGTGAGTTTAATCACATTGCGGCAAAGTTAACTATTGAGTTTACTGCAAAGTATGGACGCCTCCGATTCTGATACAGGTAGCTGACTTTTAAAACAGGATTTCCTGAGGTATTAATTTAAAATGCACCCGAAAACAGCAAGGCAAGCTTAACTAATAGGAAGTTCTGGCAGTTTTGGGAAAATTCTAGCTCAGTAACATAAAGCATTGGCTTATCGAAGCCTTCAAATTGGTGTTCTGGGTTTGACTGCCAACAAGTCAGCCAAGTTTTTCAAAACTGGGTCAAATGAGCCATTCAATACTGTCAAAACCCGCTACTAATAAGGAGCAGATAAGTTCCAATTTACCAAAACCCCTTACATTCAGTTCTGTTTGGTTAACCAGGAATAACCTTTGCTAGCATATTGACTTTGGTGGGCCTCTGCAAAAGTATTTGAGGTAAACAGTTGCCCGTTTGTACTTTTTGCACCTTTTATGTAGAAAATTATGTTTAAAAGCCTAAAAAATGCACCCGGAAAGCGTGGGCGAACGAGGTGCTAGTCACCTGTCTAACAGAGCCATGTACTTAAGCATTCCATTAGTCTCGTCGTGGACAGCAGGTATGCACAGATGCACTTCACAAATGCCTGTTTGACATGTTTCTA